GTAGTAGTAGTAGTAGTAGTAGTAGTAGTAGTAGTAGTAGTAGTAGTAGTAGTAGTAGTACTAAAGTAGTAGTAGTAGTGGTAGTGGTAGTAGTGGTGGTGGAAATTAGTAGTAGTAGTAGTAGTAGTAGTAGTAGTAGTAGTAGTAACAGTAGCAGTAGTAGTAGTAGTAGTAGTAGTAGTAGTAGTAGTAGTAGTAGTAGTACTCGTAGTAATAACAGTAGTCGTAGTAGTGTAGTAGTAGTAGTAGTAGTAGTAGTAGTAGTCGTCGTAGTAGTAGTAGTAGTAGTAGTCGTAGTAGTAGTAGTAGGAGTAGTAGTAGTAGTAGTAGTAGTAGTAGTAGTAGTAGTAGAAATAATAGAAGTAGTAGTAGTAGTAGTAGTAGTAGTAGTAGTAGTAGTAGTAGTAGTAGTAGTAGTAGTAGTAGTAGTAGTAGTTGAGTAGTAGTAGTAGTAGTAGTAGTAGTAGTAGTAGTAGTAGTAGTAGTAGTAGTAGTAGTAGTTGAGTAGTAGTAGTAGTAGTAGTAGTAGTAGTAGTAGTAGTAGTAGTAGTAGTAGTAGTGATAGTAATAGTAAAAGTAGAAGTAACAGTAGTAGTAGTAGTAGTAGTAGTAGCAGCAGCAGCAGCAGCAGCAGCAGTAGTAGTCAGTAGTAGTAGTAGTAGTAGTAGTAGTAGTAGTAGTAGTAGTAGTAGTAGTAGTAGTAGTAGTAGTAGTAGTAGTAGTAGTAGTAGTAGTAGTAGTAGTAGTAGTAGTAGTAGTAGTAGTAGTAGTAGTAGTAGTAGTAGTCGTAGTAGTAGTAGTAGTAGTAGTAGTAGTAGTAGTAGTAGTAGTAGTAGTAGTAGTAGTAGTAGTAGTAGTAGTAGTAGTAGTAGTAGTAGTAGTAGTAGTAGTAGCAGGAGTAGTAGTAGTAGTAGTAGTAGTAGTAGTAGTAGTAGTAGTAGTAGTAGTAGCGGTGACAAAAAATAGTTGTAGCCCCAACAGCCCTCTGGGCGTCTGTGGTTTAGAGCGTTTCCTCTTCAACCCCTGTTTCTTTCCCTTTGGGAAGGGGTTTACCCCTCCCCCTACCCCCTCCCCATGGACCTGGACGGGGGGTTTCGCGAGGTGTCGGAGCTGGCAAATGCTGTGTTTGCTGCGGCGCAGGAGGTACCACTCACAGCAGGAACTTGTAATGCTGTACAAGTCGCATCTACTTTTGAGATTCAATACAGGACCTGTGGTTTTGCGCATGCCACAATATCGTTGTTGGCTCCTCTGAACAGCATCCAAAACGATTTCCTGCAACAGATAGGGGTTGCGGAAAAAACGGCCTTACATAGATATTCGCTCGCCCCTGTCTGCGTCCGCAGAAACGTTGTCACCCTCGGTCTGATTCACAAGAGAACCTTTGGTCAAAAGCCACCAGAGTTCGCCGGTCTTTTCGGGCTCGACACAACAACTGCCCTGGCAAGAACTGCCAAACGTCATGCCCGTCACATGCTTGATCCGTGCTCCGTGAGATCGCCAGACTATGTGGTAAGATCGGCTCGTGGCGGCGTGAGGGTATATAATAGATTGCCAGACGCAATTGTTAGTGCATACGTGGTGAAAGCATTTCAATCGAGTTGTCGGCCATGCCCCTGTGACTGGGCCAGAACAGAAGACGAAAAGGAAGCATTGTTCTCATGGCGTCTCTCACGTTCCATGCTTTGCACCATTTGAGACAATGGAAGCCTCGGAATGATTGACCCTCTTGCTTGTTCCACTCATTATCTTCTCGTGGTTGGTAACTTTGTTATGAAAATTGAGCCTAGTACAGATGCTGGTAGATGGTGAGGCAGATGAGGGTTGCCAAATGGATGTAGACGGTTGTCCAGATGCTTGTCCCGTGAATAGTTCCACCTTCCCAACCTCCCTATTGACCCGTGCCTCCCCAAATCCAACGATATACGAAACATGTTGGACTCGTTTGTTCGCTTGCTGTTATGTTTTGTTGGCTCGGACAGAACATATGATGATAATGCCATCTCGAACGATCTCGCGATCTAAAAAAATATGGACCGACCACGAATTTGGTACGGGAGAGTCATCGTGCATCCACAAGACACCGGGAGGTGAAATATCGACCCAACATTAGAACTAACGATCTAACCTCTGATTCCGTCAGCCGACGAATCGACGAATAATCTATCTGCGAACAGTCTAGCTCTCGATGCATCGAACGATCTACATCTGTTCTAGTCAGCCGTCTCACGAACGACCCCATCACATACTAACCAACCAAACGCTCTAACGCTTCGACCGAAATTAAATGAGATCAAGCTAGCCGCTTTACGATTGCTTTCGCCGCGTTTGACTTCGTTGGCTTTGGCGGCCATCCCAGCCTAAGATATCCGTTTTAACTGAGCTCGGCCCTGACGTTGGGCGACCACGTATTCCTAGATATGTACGTCGTATCTGCGGGAGCCGAAACGGTCACGGTCAAAACCTTGATCACAAAACCAATCGCAATGTCGAATTCTAGTGCTTGCGATGTTCTGCCGGGGTTGTGGGAAAGAAAAGTTGTAGGTGTGCAGGAAGGATAAACTACAAACGTAACCAAATTGTTCATTAAACTGGCCGTAGAAAAACTCACGCATGTCATCTCGTCTTCATGACTGCCTAACGTGTCAATCGTTTGTCATCACGTGTCCAATGATTCTCGGGATACCGTGTTCGGTAAACGGCATCTGTATGATTGCAACTCAAAGAAGAACATGCCGGTCGCACCCGCTGGAATATGACATCCTTCAGCCTTCGCTCCTGCTCGAAGCCGTGATGCGACACAGCATGTTGCAAAACAGCACTTCCCGAGAGCACTCACGATAACATCTGGTCTAGAATATGGACCGAAAAAAGAAACCACGACATCTCGAATATCACCGGAATAAAACTCACGACCAATATATCCACTGCTGGATGAGCCTTCTACCGGTGGTGCTGCTCAGACCCTCCCATGTAGCTGGAACGCTTTCACGAACTCGTGCTCCAATGTCATCCAACGGGCCCTTGCCGCTGCAACGTGCTCCTACGAAGAAACCGTTTCTGCTTGCGGTCTCCGCTAAGTACGCTACGCGTGTATGAAGGGACACATGCACGCATAGCAAACAATAATATCGGCGCAGCTGCTGCTCACAATATGGTCTGCCTTGGTGCCTTATTCTACACGTACATTTGCAATGGAATAATTGCAGACCGTGCGCCGTCGACAAACGTTGAATATCCACTTCCAATGATGAACGCGGGCACGATTAACTTGAACCGTCCACTGGCATACCATAAGCAAATTACCCAGCTCGGGTGATGGGTGCACAGCACAACCGGCCCAGTGAGGCCCGTGAAATGATGCAGCATTCTGGCACATGAAGAACTATCGACTAGATGAACACAATGTGCGCGCCCAAAGTTTCAACCGCATGACACTGCGGTGCAACGGGGCACAATCATGATCATTCTGCTGTAACCCAATGCAATTCACACGCAAACCAGCCATGCAACCTATGCGATTGCAAATATAAAACAAGCCCAATATGTATGGAATGAGTCTTGTAATCGAGAAGAAGGAACTGCACCGCGGACGCACAACATCCCGTGTCGAAGGTTGTTGGGGCCTCTGGGGATCTTCGTGGTGCAGAGAAGCGGAGGCAATCCTATTTTTCCACGCGTTGGCCAACATACGCGATGGAAATCTAGAACACTACTAGTCCGAACTGGGCATGGTCGCGGCGGCAGCGCTTCGGCTCACAGGATGACCGACTACTGGACCCTGACATCTACGGCCGCTTAATGTAGGGAAGGCAGAAACGAAGCCATTCGCCCCTCACGCCTCATACATACAATTCTCCACACTTGCTGTAAGCTTTGCAACTCGCAAAAGATGAACACCTGAATCTCATGGTCGATTCTACACGTGAAGTGCTGCCCCATGAGGTGTCCTCCGCTGGGTGCTCTATGCACGGCTAGTCGAGTACAATCGCGTTTCAGAAGCATCAGCAGTGAAAATCAGGCCCCCCGCCTATTAGGCCGGAGAAGCACTTTTGCCAGTGTGGGATCCTGACAGTGCCTTCGCCGGAGAAGCACTTTTGCCAGTGTGGGATCCTGACAGTGCCTTCGTGCATTCTCGACGCGCACTCTTTGTGCTGCCATCTATGGGATGCAATCTATGTGGTGCGAGATGTGCAATGTCGTGCAACCTATGTGGTGCAAGCTGCGCGTGACATGCTATCTTCTGACACCTGTGTGGTTCGAACTGGATGGTGCAATCTTCGTGGCGCAAACCATGGTGCAATCTGTAGGCTGCAAGCCACGTGGTGCAGGCCAGGTGCGGCTCTGGAGACGCCGGCCAGATGCACGGGGCGCCCACGAGGCGCCCGCGGGCGCGCACCGGGCCGGGACTCGGCAGCGTCAGCCAGCGCACCATGCGCCCACGAGACGCCCCCGGGCGCCTGCTGGGCGGCAGTCCGAACAGCTCAGCCAGCGCACGGGGCGCGCACGGGGCGCCCACGGGCGCCCACAAGTCGAAACCAGAAGAGCCCATCCAATGCACGGGGCGCCCACGAGGCGCCCACCGGGCGAACACGGCGGGAGCCCACCCCACCCTGCTCAGCAGCCAAATCAGAACCTCCTGGTGCAAGCGATGTTTGGGCAAAAAAGGGCGTTCACGCGATGCCATGCGACCCCGTCCCTGTCCGCCTTCTGTTGCTGCCTCTCCTCGTCCTCCTGCTCCTACCCCTCCTGCACTTCGTCCTCCGCCCTGATTTTCCCCACGCTTCTCCTCCAACTCCTCGCTCAGCTTCTCCTCCTTCTCTTCCTCCTCTTCCCTGCTTCCCCTCCTCCCCCTACAAAACTCGTCAAACGTAGACTGACGCTCATTGTTTACCGGTGCATGCGAGGTTGGCGCTATCTCGAAGCTGGCACGATATACATGGCCCACACGCAGGTGTGCCCGAAATCTGGCCCCCCCCTCACAGCATTGAAGAACGCGCTTTCTCACAAGTGTCCGATCTATCGAGCGCCACATGTTTCAGTGGCGTGTCAATTTATTTTTGACGAAACTTGTAGTATCCCATTAACACCTGTTATTGTGGTCCAGCACTACTTGAAAATTGGGTATAAGATTTTGAGTGGATGATCTGGCACCGATGTGATCAAACATTGATACGAATGGCGAGGAGCGACGATTGGAAGGAGTGGGCGACTGAGTCGCGCCAGAACGGGATCAGTGCTGCAATCATATTGCGAGGCTTTCTCGACAGCGTCTTGTTTGTCCTCGTCTGCCGTCCTTTCAGAAGCATGCCGTGCAGTCTTCGGCGCCTCTCGAAGACGTGCGCTCTCTTGGGGCCTTCTGGGGGGCAACGGGATCTTGTGGTGGCTCGTTGGAGAGCGTCGGTCGTGCCAGAAGCCTCTGTGGCCGTCTTGGCAGTCTCTCCTGGGGTCCCTCCAGGCCGACTCCTTGGGAGCATCTCGGTGGCGTGCTGGGCCCCCTGAGGGCATCTTGGATCCACGAGAGTCTGGGCCAGAGATGTGTGTTGGAAGGGCCAGAGGTTCTGGAGGCTCCCGAGACGAGGGCCCCCCCCTGTGTGGAATGTGACAGGGCTTCTGGAGCGGCCGCGGCTTCCCCGAGACCGCCCCGCCCTATCCCTCGCCCACCGCCCCCCTCCTGAGACGAAGCCAGGACCAAAATAACCCCGGGTACCTTCTCCTCCTCCTCTTCCTCTTCCTCCTCCTCCTCCTCCTCCTCCTCCTCTTCCTCCCCCCTCCTCCTCCTCCTCCTCCTCCCCTCCTTCTCCTCCTCCTCCTCTGTCTTCTCTTCTCTTCTCTTCTCTTCTCTTCTCTTCTCTTCTCTCTCTCTACTCTCTACTCTTCTCTCTCCTCTCTCTCTCTCTCTTCCTACTCCTCTCTCTCCTCCTCCTCCTCCTCCTCCTCCTCCTCCTGCTCCTCCCCCTCTCCTCCTCCTCCTCCTCTCCTCCTCCTCCTTCTCCTCCCTGCCTCCTCCTCCTGCTCCTGCTCCTGCTCCTGCTCCTGCTCCTCCTCCTCCTCCTCCTCCTCCTCCTCCTCCTCCTCCCCCTCCTTCTCGTCCTTCCCCTCCTGTCGGGATAGCACGCCTCGGGAGAGCCGTGCTAGCCTCCAACTCACCAGCGCTCGGCGCCGAGCCGATGGGCCGAGACCGCCCGACGGACCAGCTCGGCCACGACGAACCACAACTCGGCCCGCTCGCCTGGCAGCCTACTGCACCGCAATCGGCCCCAGCCGAGAGCACCCTCGTCTGGCGCGCCCTCTCTGGAGAGGGCGGGCCCCGAATCCGCAGCAAGACGGAGCCAGGACGAGGACAAACTCGGGTGAGGATAGGTCGAGAAACTCTGAGATCGAGCGGCTCTGGAGGATGTCTCGGGCGCCGCTGTCTGCTCAAAGAGCGTTCCGGAACGCTCAGAGAGCGCTCTGGGACGCTCTGCAACGGATTTATCCGCGTCCTAGCCCCGTCCGACGCAGGGTCGGCCACGCCCTCCTGGCTTCCATCACGTCCGTCTGCGCGACGTGGGCCCCAACCGCCCGCATGGCACCTCCCGCGACGCCGCCGTCGGCGGCGGCTGCGCACGAGGCCCAAGGCCACCTGCACCTCTGCCGGGAGCCGCGGGGCGGGGGCACGGAGCCGCCCGGCACGATGTCCAGGTCAGACGAGGGTGCGGCGCACCTCTTCGGAGCTCGCCCGTCGCCGCTTCCCCTGCTCGTGCAAGGTTGCCTCGAGGGTCTTCCGCGTCGCTGCCGCTTTGGCTGCCGCTGCGGAGCCGACCTCTGCCAGCAGGCGTCCCAGCTCGGCCGCCTGCAGCGCGCCCTCCAAGCGCTGAGCGCGGGGGCCGCGTCGCACTGCGGCCCCGTGGCAGGCCTGCGACCTCGTCGCAGTCTCTTGGAGAGACGTCCGCATACCAATAGGGGCCCGACCACAAGAAACCTTCCACAAGAAACCCAACCCTGAGACCCCAGGACATCCATTGACTTTTGGTGTGGGAGCGCCACGCTCTCCATAGCAAAACCATCGAAACCCAAGAAACCCAGGGCACCTTGGAGGCGACCAGGGTGTTCCTTGGCATGGGTTTCCACCGTACCAAGCGCGCAAGGGGCACTGTGCTGCAGTTGGATGTGCTGACTGAGCGACAAGTCTGGCGAAGGCGCCAGACACTTATGACTTCGGAATCGGGTCAGGAGGTCAAGGAGGAGAGGGAGGAGGAGGAGGAGTACCCTCGAGGGCACGCTTGGTGAGAGGGTCCTGGAAAACAGCCCCCATGCGCACCCGGTGGGCCCCTGCGGCATCGGCAGTCCTCCTCCTCCTGCTCGGCATGCTCTTCCTCCCTCTCGTTGTCCTTCTCTTCCGCATCCTCGTTCTTCTCCTACTCCTCCTCCTGGCCCTCTTCCTCCTGCTGCCTCTCCTCCGCCTCCTCCGCCTCCAGCCCTTCTCTTCCCCCGCCTCATCTGGCTCCTCTTCAATCCCTCCTGAGGGAAAGCAGAAAGATGAAGAGAACGAGACGTAGGAGCAAGAGTCGGGACAGCTGGAACCCTCGCTGCAAACAACGGCCCGAGGGAATCATGATCACCAATCGCCCCCCCGAACTCACACTATCAGGACGAGGGCCATGGTAAGTGAAGACACCCGAGGGGAATCCATGTGCAGCATGCATTACCTATATGATAGTGGCGATCACAAGTCAATGGGGCAAGCGTTGGAGATAAAGAAACAACGAACAAGCAACTTCCGACAATGTGCCTGATCCGGGTACCCTGGTCAAGTTGGAGTCACCTTCCATGTTAGCCACAGTGCTAGCAGAACCAATGCCTCCCAACCACGTTATACTTCAAGGTGGCCGCGGAGCTTCACTTATTTCTCGCTGCTGTTCCCACCCCGCATCCTGTTCTGAGTTGGCATATCTCATGTGCCCGACGGGTGAGACTGAAGAGAGACACGCTTGGAAATCAAACCAAGCGATTGTGTACACGTCGGCGCAAATCGAGGGATCCGTACGTTCTAGCAAACGGACGGCGAATCGATTTTCGAGGATCTTGGCTCTCCCTGGAGCCCCTATCGCAAAATACGCTGCACCACAATGCGATGCTACCTAGAATAATCGTTGACCTGGTGTCCCATGACCTCATGACACTACGACTCGGCAATGGAAGAAGACGCACCTCTGCTCGGAAAAAAAGGCCCTGGACACCCAAGTTCCGTAGCCAATCGAACGATCGTCTCTGCCGTGCCCCCCCTCTTCTTCCCACCCCTCCTGCCGCTTTCCTCCACGAATTACCAATACAAGAGTGCATCGGGGTTTCGCGCCATGCCCCTAGGTCATTCAAGTGTAGCACACACACGGGGCCACGAATATCTCCATTCACACATATATTATATATATATCTATATATATACACATATGTTTAATACAGAAAGATAGCTCTATACATCTGCATAGAGAGATATGTAGAGGCATAGAACGAGAACGATCACGAGAGAGAGAGAGGGAGAGAAAGAGAGAGAGAGAGAGAGAGAGAGAAAAAGGGAACTATAACAACGATATATATATATATATATATATATATATAGACACCGATATTCATACTCACATGACATTACGACCATTATTACCGTACTGCTGCTGTTTCCGTTGCAGTCGTTCTACGTTTCCATGTTATTCGTTTCCTTCCTCTTCCTTCTTCCTCGACCTTCCTTGTGAACGCTTCTCCTTGCTCATTCTCAATTTTTTGCTGGAGGCTCCTCGTCGGGAGGTCTCTATAATGCCCCTCGAAGGCTTCTTTGGACTTATTTTGGGGGCATCTGGAGGCCTCCTCGGAGCATTTCGGGAGCCTCTGGGGCCTTCTTGGGACCTTTTGGCTGGAAACCCATACGGAATTCCACTGAAGGTCCCAACGCTACCGCTCGCATGCGTCCCCCCACTCAGTACGGCGTTAGGGAGCTCCACCGACGGCCCCAATGCTACCGCCCGCATGCGCCCCCCCACCCCCCCCACACACACACACACGCACACAATACAGCGTTTCGTCTCCCCATAGGAGCTCCACCGACGGTCCCAGTGCTACCGCCCGCGTGCGTCCCTCCCCACCCAGTACAGCGTTTCGTGGCCCCATAAGGACCTCCACCGACGGCCCCAGTGTTACCGTTTGCATGCGTCCCCCCCGCCCAATACAGCGTTTCGTGGCCCCATCGGAAGCTCCACCGACGGTCCCAATGCTACCGCCCGCATGCGTCCCCCCCCCCCCCCACACACACACACAGTACAGCGTTTCGTGGCCCCATACGGAGCTCCACCCAAGGTCCCAGCGCTACCGCCTGCATGCGTACCCCCCCACCCAGTACAGCGTTTCGTGGCCCTATAAGGAACTCCACCGACGGCCCCAGCGCTACCGCCCGCATGCTGTCCCCCAATCCAGTACAGTGTTTCTTGGCCCCATAGGAAGCTCCGCCGACGGCCCCAGTGCTTCTGCCCGCATGCGTTCCCCCCACCCAGTGCAGCGCTTCGTGGCCCCATGGGGAGCTCCACCGAATATGATATTCACAATTGTGGTACAACTGCATACGCTTGGGTTCGTCGCCAGGGTTTTTTTTCTCATCCTTAATGTGGTTTCGCGTACATCCTTGCCCGCAGATTCGCACAGTGTACTCGCACACGGCGGCGTAACCTACCTATACGACCACCCGGCGGGTGATAAGGAGGTTTGGGGGGAGGGGCCCAGCAATGGACTACAATGGTGATTGTTCAATTGCAAGGGCGGGGCCGTTGTACGACCACCCTTCGGGTGATAAGGAGGTGAGGGGGGGCCAACGTTGCACTCGATCAATTTCAGTATCGATCTCACTATTGATCCCACTCGATCGAGCTCACTCGATTACTCCCACAATCGATATCATGATCGATCCCACTATCGATCTCACAATCGATATCACGATCGATCGCACTATCGATCTCACAATCGATCTCACTATCGAGCTCACTATCGATCTCACGATTGATCTTACTATCGATCTCACGACGGGACACCGACGGGACACCGCAGGACACCGACGGGACACCGGCGGGACAGCGGCGAGACACCGCGCGGCCCCGAACGCCGGGTATCGCCGGGTCGCCAAACATTTGGCCCGGCCACGCCTCAGCCACAGGAAACTTTCCTCTCGCCCGCCCACGCAGCTCCGCCTCGCCCGCACGCACTGCACGCGCGAACACGAAACCGAAATCGATTTCCCGGTAGGGGGGCTCTCCGTTCCACTTCGATCTCACCCCCCAACCTCCGACTTAAGATGCGGGATGTTTCCCTTGTCGGGCCTGTTAGGCCGCTCTCCAGGCTTGTACATAAACGGGACGACGTAGCTGCAGAATAATGTGGCAAACGTTGTGGCACCACTGGCAGCAAGCACGATGCCATGATCAGCGAAAGCACACCTCAGCCGTTCGCGGGCCACTTGGCCGCGCGCCGAACTTCCGATCCAAGCCAACACCGGAAGGGAGGACAGGAAAGAACAGGACATCCGCATGAGGGGGTCAACGTCGAAACGCTTGCAAACGAGCTGTGGAGTACGACTTGCGACATCCCCTGCGAGTGAAGTTTGCCGCAGAACCAAACTTTTCATGGGCCCCGCAGGGGGCGTGCCCCGTTGCTGTAATTGGCGAGCTCCGAGGAGGCCCAATAAGAAGGCCTCGCTACCTTGTGAATGCGAGTCCCTGCGGGTCAGTGCGGGGGGGGCGGCCGTTGGCCCTCGTGCCCATTCCATGGGGAATGCGCTGGGCGAGCAGGGCTCCCGAGCAGGGGGAGGAAGACGACGCGACCTCACCTCGACGATGCAGGAGAGAGAGGAGGATGGAGGGGATGCAGGAGGCCCCTTTCGTGCCGAGCTTCTGCGGGGGGGCCTGATTCATATTTTTGCGGACTGCTGGGCCCGCGTTTCGAACAGAGCCCCTCTCTCTCTCTAGACTCACTTCGCTTCCTGGACGTGCTGGTCGATGACCGAGCCCTGCAATGTAGTGTCCGACACAGGCCCTGCGCTGCAATGCGCTGCATCCAAACTCCCTGTAATAAGCAAAGAGCACCTTTGAAATGCCCCCCCCTCCAGTTGGCGTGTATGTAGGGGCGAACAATCCCACAAGTGCCACGGCGTGTGAGAGGCCTCCATATCTGTGATGCTGGTCATGTCCCAGTGTCGTTCCACGGGGGGAGGGGCCCTTCAGGGGAACGCTCTCGTGGTCTCTGTGGGCTGTGGGGCCCTCGTTTTCCACTCGTCGTCCCAGTGGTGTTGCCCGTCTGAATTGCACTGTCTCCTGTCTTCTTGCGCCTCCTGTCGGTGCTCCAAGAAAAAACGCTTGTGTCGGTGCAGGCTCCGCTGGCCTGCGCTCCAAAATGCCCTCGCCAGTGCAGCCGCGGGCGCGAGCGGGCGCTCTCGCGCGCGGCCGCTGGAGATAGCCGCGCCACCTGAAACGGCGCACTTCTCGAGAATCTCGGTGCCGTCGAGCAGGGTGCCCGTGCTCTCGCGCAGTTCCTGACGACGCTGGAGCCTCTCGACCTCCTTCCTCTCGAGCTTCTCGATGGTCTGCAGCTCCCTCGCGGATGTCTCCATGACGCTCCGCGGGCTCCTCAGGTCGTTCTTCGCGATCCGCACCGCAAGCTCGCACCAGCTGCGCGACGAGAAGTATTTCCTCCCTGCTGCTTGCCACGTGTCCACTGGGCACCTTGCAACTAGCTCGCAGCCATTTACGTGCTGCGTCATCGGGAAGACGGGCGGGGTCATCGCCTGCAGGTCATCTGGGCTCAGCTGCTGGGCTGCGTCGAAGAACTGGTGGTGGTGGTGCTCTTTGATGGTGTCGTCGATCTTCTGCGGCAGCATCTCGGCTTCATATGCTTCCCACTTGCCATTGATGAATCGCTCCGCCACCATCGACGGGCCGTTGCGGTGCGGGTGGAACCGCGGCACGCGGCCGAGCTTGAGCCACTCCGTGTGGTCCTCGGTGAAGTCGCTTTCTCATCTCTCCCACCTATCCTTCCATGAGCTGGTCCCTGGGGATGCTCTCCTGGGCAATCACCGGCGCCATCCAATCGCTTTTGCACCAGGACATCCACTGATCTGACCGCGAGTTAGCGCTGGGGCCACTCCACAGCAGCTTGTCGGGAAAGGCTAGTCCGCGCGAGCAGGCGCAGTTCTTGTCCCAGTCCCTGCCTATGCGGCACCTGCACACGTTGAGCAACAGCATATTGCCGCTCCACTTGTCCACAAATCCAGCTCCTTCAGGTGCTGGGTCTTCTGCGCTCCCATGTTCTTGCACGTCTTGTAGCTGTCGTGCTCCTGCGGCTCCTTCTCCTTCTCTCCCAGCGCTTTCTTGGCTGTCTTCAATGCTTCCCCGTCCTCCATGTCCATGAGCATGTACTCGCGCAGCATGGTGTCGCACTCCTCCGCGCACTTCAAGGCGACTAGCATATTCTCCCCTGCCCTGCTGAAGGCTGCGAAGATACCCCCGTTCTTCTTAATGCCGTCCATCAAGGCCTTCGACGCCTCCCTGGACGGCTCGAGGACGTTCTTGTTTCTCTGGTTGCGGGACCTCCTCGGCTGGTTGCCTTGCTCCTCCGCGTCGATGATCGCCTTCGCTGCCTGGATTTCCCCTATGGGTTGAGCGGTCCACGCTAGGCCCCTTGCGCGCTGTTTCTGATCACGGCTCACTTGGTCTTGGGTGATGTATTACCTCGCCATGGCAAAGCTTGTCTTCGTCGATCCACTCGGACCATTCCTCGCGCCTAATGGCCAATTCGCAGTTGACGCGCGCCCTCTTCCACTGGCTTCCT